CAGAAGGCCGTCAACTCTGGCCCTGGTCATGTGCCGGCTCACCTACATACATAATATAAACTGTGAGCGAAAGCACAGTGAATAATAATAGAGTAAAGGGTTTCAATGAATGAGTTCGTACAGATTCAAAAATCGTAATTCAGATTTGTATCACATTCATCATTTGTCCAGATCATATACAGACAGAAATCATAAGTCATGATTAAGTTTACGTGATACATCCATTAGCATTAACAGAACAGAATAGAACAGAACATATACACGTGAGGTTACGAATAACCAGTTCCATAAAGGAACCTCCGGATCCGGGTAACAGAACAGAAGCTGAGCCCCCGTGACAACGCCTCCGGTACGGGTAACAGAGTACAGACAGAAATAAGTTCCATAAAGGAACCTCCGATATCGGGTAACAGCTAACAGATATCATATGATGCTAAGGATGTCACGAATACATATCAGAAATTGAACAATCATTCATTGTACAGAACATATCATTTCGGAAAACAGATCTTGTTTTATCACACAGAAAGTAGATACAGTTTGAACATAACTTTACTAAGTTATTACTCACAATTGGCCTTGAAACAGACAGACGAAGCAGATTGATCACACGATACGCGACACGTGACCTACATAACACATAGCAGACACATACTTGAAACACACATTCTAATTGCACAAAACTTACGTCGTTGGTTCTTAGTGTGTTTCTAACCTTAAATCCTCACTAAAGAGTCTTAAACATGGCCTAAGAATGCCTAGGATGGAATGAGGATGCAAAGATGCCTTGGAAAACATTTTTCAAAACATGCTGAAAACAGGGGTCTCGCTCGAGCATGGCTTCCTTCGCTCGAGCGAGCTTGTCAAAACAGAGGAGTCGCTCAAGCGTAGACTCCTTTGATCGAGCGGTCTGTAAAAATGCAAAAGTACTGGTTGTTGAAATTTTTCGCTCGATGCTCACTCGAGCGTGAGACACGGCTCTTCACTCGAGCGTAGGTCTCGTCGCTTGAGCGTGCGTCTGCGTGGACAAAAAACCTGAGAGCTTGCAATTTACGCTTGAGCCACCATTCCTTCACTCGAGCGAAGCTCTGAACAAACAATGGTCACTCGAGCGTGAAATCCTTCGCTCGAGCGAGGAAGCCAAATTCTGGAATTTCCAGATTTGCCTCCTAAGCTCAAACCAAGCATTCAACACCTCAAATCTCAACCCTTTGGGCCCATGTTTTGGAAAACACTTGTAAACTCATAGTATAAGATGTTTCAAAGATCAATTTGTAAAATCAAAGCCCAAAGGTGAGTCAATTGAACACAATTACAAGTAGAACTTCAAGAACAAAACAAGAGCTTAACATGCAAGTGTTGATTTTAAATCCAATGCTCTAAAACATGACCAAATGTAAGATTGAGCTCAAAATCATGATGAATTCATGGACTAAGGCTAGAATATGGGCTTGCATGCAAGAACTTCCATCAAGACACTTCAAAATGCTAAGATATGAACATGTATGCATGACTTAAGCCTCAATTCAACATTTTCAACCAATTCTTGACTTTAATCTTCAATTTTACCATGGACCATGCAAGGTATAACTTAAATGTATAATCAAGAAGATGATTCTCCTACCTTAGGTTTTTAATTCCAAGCCTAAAAACTTAAATATGCATACTACTCTTCAATTCTTCCAATTCTCCAAGGAGTTTTGTTGAAACCAAAATTTCTCCTATCTCTAGCTCTCTCCCACGGTTTGGTCAAGAAATAGATGATAGAATGATGCACAATAAGTTCCAAACAAGGCTCTTAGAAGTGGCCCATTAAGTGGCAATTAGGTAATTAACTTGAACTAATGTAATTTAGCATTATATAATCTAATTTAATCATACCAACCAAATTTTAATTAAACCTACCATAAAATCACATATATTCTTACTAGTATAAAACACTACTCAATTTTTGAATCGGTCGCTGATAAGGCTTTCAATTCGCAGTTTAAAGTCAAAGGCATGAACAGGTCATTTTATCGCAAATAGATAGAAACACTCAAATAATGCAATACACATGCAAATTAATTCCAAATCCTTCCTAAATTACCATCAGACATAATTAAGTACGGATTAACGTTAATAAGAGGTTGGGGTTGTTACAGTTACCGATGTTAACATCCATCACACGAGTCTGCAAATCTAATCCCAAAACAAGGCATCCAAAACCTATTGTCACATTGATGCAAACAACATAAGCTAAAAAGATACCAGGATGTTACGCGTCACATTAAAACCCACACGACACCAATCACAGATTTCCCAAATTCGAATTAATATTCAACCCCACAACATTGCACGCAAACACCATAAACATACCACTAACATCGAAAAATTGCAAACAAGAAAAAAACAACATTTAACTAAGCACACATGAATCATAGCATTACATTCCATATTACACTCAAACATCACACATTACATACTTGCGTATCTCATTGTCATGAGTTTTGAACACTGAAACGGAAGGTAGTGATCAACGATGTAAGGTTTTGAATCAGCAACCAAGAACGACAATTTGACGTTACTTCTAACATAGCATTACATTCCATATTACACTCAAACATCACACATTACATACTTGCGTGTCTCATTGTCATGAGTTTTGAACACTGAAACGGAAGGTAGTGATCAACAATGTAAGGTTTTGAATTAGCAACCAGGAACGACAATTTGACGTTACTTCTAACATAAGTACATATGCTGTAAGGTTGTTTGAAACACTATAATTGATGTGAAAATGTAGGGTTTCCACAATGTATGGTTTGTACACAATCTTTAGAGTGGAAATCGGCAATTCGGTGTGGTAAAACCTTGATCACAACAACGTTTGCATTGGATTCAACAAGGAAATTGAGCAATGTTATAATGGGTCTAAGAATCTTTCTTTGTTTGTAATGTGGGTTTCGGCCATGAGTGAGGGAAAATTGACAAAAACCTATAGTACGGATTGTCCAAATGTGTAATTTCATCATAAAAGAAAACCCACATTTATCCAAGCTACATAGAAGGAAACATGGGTATTGTCTGGCCTTTTGTGTAATTTCCAATTGATTGAGACCTTTTGGTCCATAAGATGAAAGGGAGGATCAAATAGTTCATAATATCACAAATTTGGATTTATTAGTTCTTCACCCTATTTTCAAAACCAAGTCTAAGTTGATAATTTTACTCTTCATCTACTTTTTCTCCGCCACTCTAATTAACACACGTGCCACACACTTCCTTTGGAGCTTCACTCGCCAAACTTTCAAGTCTTCAAAATTCAAAGTGTCGAGTGAGGAGGTTTTTTTTGAGAAATACAAAAAAAAAAAAAAAAATTATTAATTTTTTAGATTATATCACCTCTCTATATTTTACATATATTTTTATAATAAATAAAAAAAAACAAAGGCTGTGTTTGGTATGGCTTTGAAATCATGATTCCATCCCTCAGTTTGCATACACTGTTTGGATGGAGTTTTGAAAATGTAATTCTACCACACATTTCAAAACAGTTTTTCTTTCACGTTTGGATGGAGTTTTCAAAACATATTTCTTTTTCACATTTCGTCTTTTGCAGAGTTTTTGAATTTTGAGTCTACCTAGTCATCCTCCTGGATGTCCCCCCGAACGTCCGGCCGGTTGACCGGAACAATGTATTTTATTATTATTATTATAATTATTATTTTTTTGCAATTGATCACATGTTGTTGTGTTCCGATTTTGAACATTCTTCATCGGCGGATTGAACTAAAATCATAATCCAAATCTAGTGTGTGTATGTGTATGTTTTTGAGATCACAGATCAGTGAATCTAATCTAATCACTTTGACACCCTCCGATGTTTTCCCTAATTTCCTCTTCAGTTATAAGAGTGGCTTCGCGACATCACCTCTGCCTATTACCACGGCGGCGTCAGTGCCTTAATTGGAGAGAGAGAGAGAGAGCAAAAATTCATTTTCAAATTTCCCTGTTTTCTCAACAACCAAACACCAACACATACATATATGTATATATATATATTCATACATTTCACATTCATCCCCATGGATATGTTCCAATCACACCGGTAGTGCTCGAAGCCCTTGGATTTGAGGAGTAATGCCACCAAAATTCAGTATTGTGAGTTTGGCGGTGAGCTGCCATGGACTGACAGGGGAGGTCATCGCCGCTATGTTGAAGAGAGAGAGAGAGAAGGGTGTGGATCTGCGATCTAGAGAACCAATTAAGACTCATTGACCCATAGTGAGGTCTAGTGGAGAAATCGGAATTGCTCTATGCAGATTTAGAAGGAGAGATGATGGCGATGGAGGCGGGGGTGGCAGTAGTGGTGGTCGAGAGGGGTGAGAAAGAGAGAGAGAGAGAGAGAGAGAGAGAGAGAGTATGAGTGTGTGTAAGTGTTGTTATGTGTGTTATTATTATTTTTTTGTTAATAATTAATTTTTTGAATTGAATTTTAAAAATAGTTTGATGATGAGTTTTATTTTTTTTGTTAATAATTAATTTTTTGAATTGAATTTTAAAAAAAATTTGGTTATGAGTGTTATTTTTTTTGTTAATAATTAATTTTTTTACTTGAATTGAAAAATAATTTAGTTATAACTGTTGATAAGATTTTTCAATAGAGTTTTGAATTATATATTTAATTTCAGTTATAACTTTTCAAAATTGATAACCAAACAAATTTTCTTATTGTACATATCATATCAAACATTCAAAACTCAATTCAAATATCATAATTAATAAACTTTTTATATTCAAATCATAATTTTAAAATTTATAAATTTAAAATAATCATATTCTTAAATTATAATTTTAAAAATCGACCGAACAAATGTTTTTAAAACTTTCCAAAAACGCCTATGATTTTCTCGCGCGTCGTCCTCGACTTTCAATTATTATAAGATTTTATTTTTTATTTTTTTATTATTTTATTTTTTTTCACCGTTAGGAAAAGAAGTTCAAATGAATTATCTCACAAGCTTCATTTCCTTCACCACGCTCTCCTCTGTCTCTCATCTTTGATTTTGCACAAGTTTGAACGAATCAAAAGACAGTAATTGATTATTGATTGATTTTAGAGAAAGAGAAAGAGACAGAGAGGGTCTACCATTGAAGCTTTTTTATCTTTTATATTCGATTTAATAGAGAGAGAAAGGGCCAAGAGTTTTGGAATAAACCTCCAGGCTTCGAGGAGAGAGAGAGAGAGAGAGAGGAAATAGAAATAGTAGAGAAGTGAGGGATGAGCACAGTGGGGAGACAAAGCCAGAGATCTGGTGCATCGACTGTGCATCATCAGCGTCACTACTCTGACAACTTCTTGGATTCCTCATCCAATGGTCGCTGGCTTCAATCTACTGGTCTTCAACACCTCCAATCCTCAAACCCATCTGTTCCTCCTCTACAGGTTCTCATCTTTTCATTTTTTTTTTTGGGAAGATCTGATGGTATAGTTTGAGAGTTCAATCGTTTGTTTACATGTACTGTTTTGATTGAATCTGAGAGCAGGACTACAGTTTCTATCAGGGCGGTCAGGGATCGAGAATGTATAGAAATGGTCAGAGGAGTTTCAATGGAGGAAGTGAGTTTTTCACAGAGCCGTTGATGCCTCCGATTAATTCGCGGCCTTCGGGACAGAGAAAGAACAGTGAGGACCCAGAGTCGCCAAGTGGGTTCAGTCCTGGACTTCTAGATCTACACTCCTTTGACACTGAGCTTCTTCCTGAGGTGGGTTTTTGTTGCCCTATTGTGTTTGACTTGTATTTTGATGTTGGGGATTGTAAGATTACATGCAAGTGTTGGCATTGTGGATTTCCCTGCAAAATCTGATCCATTTATCGTAATCGATTAGCTAATATGTTGGTTAACTGTATGACTTTTTATAAAAAAAAATGTGTGAAAAAGTAGAGAAAGTGGGTAAAAAAGTAGAGAAGATATGTTGGGAGATGCTGATAGATGTTGATTGATGTTACTTAAATAAGTGTATGTATGCAAAAAAGTATATTTTTTTAGTGCATGCCAAACACTTACTAAAACTCAAAAAAAGAAAAATAAATCATTGGTTTATCATATTATATGTTGGTTAATCGTATTTTGAAACACGGAAAAAGATTATTGGTTTATCATATTATCTATCAAGCATGGACAAGATTCAACAACAGACAGAAACAAATCTACTAGTTGTTGTGTGTTCAGCAATATGTGGAGTAACTCCCGATATAGCAGTAAAAGCAAGACGTGTAGGTGGGTGGATCAACTCATCAAGTTCCATTGAAATAGGATCCACGCAAGAAAAAACACTTGCAGTTCATTGATTGTAAGATTAGATGGAAGTTTTGGCATTGTGGACGGATTGCCGTTGATTGTCAACATGTTTTGAAGTTTGTTGTATGCGCTTGCAATACGAACTTCTTGGATAGAACTCACCCTTGACACTGACCCAATGGTAGCCCTTTCCCTTCTGACACCTCAATGGTGTCCTACCATGAGCCGCACTCATACGAGTATGGGTGTGGCTTCCCTCACCTATTAGTATTCAACACCTCAGACGATACCATATACTCATATTAGCATTCAACATTCGACACCTCAGCGGTGTCTTAATCCAACCTATATGTCACTCATCTTTTAGTATTCGACAACTCAGCAGTGTCTTAATCTAGCCTATAGGTTGTCTCCTTTGAGTTTGGAACCGCAAAGCTGCAAGTCACACTAATGATACAAACTCCTTGGGTATAACTCACCCTTGAAAACTGGCTTATGAGGGGAGGGTGTCCAAGAGGCTTACATGCACATTGCTAAGGACTAAGTTAGCCAATGTGGGATCTTAACAACTTATCTCTTTATCTTGTTGAGTTATGATGAATCTAGTGTAGAATGCATTGTTCGCTTGCTTGTTTATTTTGTACATTTTTGTGTGCAGTGGGGAAATCAGATTGAAGACCATATGCTCTGGATTTGCAATTTGAAATGTGATTGTGCCAATATGTCCTAATTCTTAGATATCTGTGGTTGATTAGCCAAATAGAGAGCTACATACTGGTTCTTGTAATTTTCCGCATCGTGTACCAATATTTCGGTCCTACCCAGTGCACAAGTCTATGCTTCAGCAGAGTGTGCCAAATGTGTCCTAATTCTTAAAATTTGTAGTAGAATTGTAAATAACCTAAACAAAGAGACATGATATCCAAGAGTTTATCAGACAACTTTGAGAATTTGTGTCCAAGTTTACTGATGTTTCTTTGTATTCTGTGGGCAGGTGGCAGTTCCTGGCCTATATGATGCTCCTTTGCCATATCGTTCTGTCCGGGGCAGAAGCTTTGATGACACTGAGCCATACCTTGCAAATAATAAGCAAACTGGTAGAGTTCGTGCTGTGCCTGATAACAACCTTTTGAAAAGTTTTGCTGCAGAGAAAGACAAGGCCAGTAATGTTGCAAAGATTAAAGTTGTGGTATGTTTCTTCCATTTTCCTTCTTGTTTCCCAATTAGGTTTCCCTCTTTTGTTTTTATCTTTAGCAAATGTGAGGTCTAATAGCTGACCATTGATTGGTCATAATGCCTGATTGTCAGCTTGAAAACTACTAATTTTTTTAAAGTTCGCCTCATGTTTTTTATCTTTAGCAAATGTCAGGCCTAATAGCTGACCAGTATTAATGCTAGATTGTCAGCTTGAAAACCTTGAAAACTAATAAACTCAATTCCTTGTTTTACATGAGTGTAACTTTTCTCTTCTATGCAATGTCTGATTTACAGAAAAAACATGTGCCTTTGATTACCACTCTGTTCTAAGATCTGCTAATGATAAATTTGTTGCAGGTGCGAAAGAGGCCACTTAATAAAAAGGAGCTGGCAAAGAATGAGGAAGACATCATAACTATAGAGCCTCATTCTAATTCTCTAACAGTTCACGATACTAAACTTAAGGTTAGTGTCAGTGCCTGGTTCACATGAAGTGCTTGTTATCAAAGTTTAACTATTTTGAAGTTTTAGGGGTGACCATTGGTTCAATGGTTAAGATTTGGCCTAATAACCTTGAGGTTATGTGTTCAAGTCTTGGGACCACCTCTTTGTGCATTATGCCAAATGTTAGGTGTGTACTCTGAGGCCTCGTTTGGGGACTTACTTTTTTAGCCAATTAGCCAAAAAGTTACTAAATTAACCAAAAAGCCAACAACTCATACAAAAAAGTCAAAGATTCTCTTTTCTCTCTACTTTTTGCACATCTTTTTGTAATTAGCCAAAAAGTCATCCCAAACATACAAGTTTTTTTTACCTACCTTTTTAGCCAAATAGCCAAAAAGTTACTAAATTAGCCTGTTCCCAAACGAGGCCAATCTTTTCCCTTCCAAATACACATTAATGTGTACTAATTGGGCGTTGTTTTATTTTTATGTAAAAAGCTCTTTACTCTCTTCCTTAATTTCCTAGTGTTTTAATCCTCTCATTGTTTTCCTTTATTTTTGGGGCTGAGGCTGAGAGACATTTTGTGTTCTACTGTCCAAGAATCTGTGAAAACTGACTTAATTGCTTGTTGATACTATGCTTTTGAGTATATGAGAATTTGGGTCTTGGATTTATGTATTAGACTAGATCTCTCTCACTAGCACATCCTTACGGGTTTCGTCTTTGGGTTTCGTCTCATATCATTCCACCTTTATGTTCATCCTCTAAGTCACCAGTTCGGCAAATGCGTGCCAATACTTTCAATTCATGCTCTAAGTCATGAGTCTGCGAATTAGTCCTGATCCTGAACTTAATTGAAATTTGCGAATCTGCGAATTCAATGCACAAGTGGCACCCTTACCGGGCGAATTAGGTGACTATCTATCATGGTTATTAAGATATACTTTTTGACTTATCTGAACAATTTCAGTTCGTGGTGCTCTTATGTCCCTATGGATATTTTGTTTCTTAGAGGCTTTTAGTTAACAAGTCAAAGGTTGTTTTTAACGCATTTTAAAAATGGGCCTTGTCTATTTGGGTTGGATAGAGGTAACTTTCTTCATTTTATCCATTCAAGCAAAATTTTGCTAGTAAGATCTGATTCTAAGTTCTGTCATGCTTTCCCTTCCCCACCCTTCCTTGACTGTTTCGAAGTGGCAAAATTAGGAGAACTTAATTTAAACAGTGTAAATGCAGCATTGCAGCAATGATGAGTATTAATAGTGGGAGTTTGTTTTGAAAGTTTTCACTAATACATTTGTAATCCAGCACTTATTCCACAAAAGCATTATTTAAGCTTTTCTTTTTGTGATAGAAACAGCCCCAACAAAAATTGGATTATAGTTATTTTGGTTGTAATTGTTGGCACTGTCCTAAGATAAGAACGATTTATAACATAGTATTTTATTGGGGTGCTTCTATTTACACCAAAAAAAAAAAAAAAAAAACGGCATACCCATTTAATAAAAAAACCTTCTTATACCGATTTAATACTTATACTCCACTCCAAAATTTGAACTTTTATTTTATCTCCTTGCACTCTCATAATTCCACCCAAATCCTCATCCCTTGTCTTCCAACTTCACATTACACTCCTATTCTTTCAAACCTTCACTGTAACCCTCCACCAATCACCACCTCCAACTGCCACCTTCGAGCACCAACCCCCCTCCCCCACTGTCGACGCCCTCCGCCACTGGCAACCACCTCCCAAGCTCCCCACCACCGCATGACCCCCATCTACCACCGCAAACCCCTTCTAGCTCCGCACCACCGTGACCCTCCCTCCCAACCCCTTTTATCATTGAGACCGTTCCTCTTGGTCCTTTCACCATTGCAACCTTCCTCTTCCTAGCCTCTTCACCACCACAATCACCTCGCAACTACCCACCCTTGCGACTCCCTTCCCATCCTTTCCCCACCTCGCAACCCACTTGGCCAATCTTCTTCAACCCCAGAGAGAGAGAGAGAGAGAGAGAGAGAGAGAGGGTGATGACAATAGGGAGGTGGTGGTGAAGGGATGGGGTGTAAGGAAAATTAGGGCTTTTAATTTTTTAGGGTTTGGTACTTTTTGTTAATTTTAGACAAGAATAAAATCGTGCAAAATAATTTAAAAAATAAGGGGTGTAAGGAGATATTTTTATTGTGTACATAGAAGCTTCCATTTTATTGTTCTCTTATCTTTTATTGGCTTCCTCTTATCGAATTTTCTAGTTATGGGTGTAAATGAACAATATTCTTTGAACTTCATGTAGTTGAAAATTTTGAATCTCAATATTCTTCAGGTTGACCTAACAGAATATGTGGAAAAGCATGAATTTTTTTTTGATGCGGTGCTGAATGAGGAAGTTTCAAATGATGAGGTGAGTATTACAAAAAAGAAAAAAAATGAAATGAATGGACAATGGAAATAATTTCTTAAACTGCATGTTAATCTTGGTTTTTCATTTTTTCCTCACAGGTGTATCACGAAACTGTGGAGCCCATAGTTCCAATAATTTTTCAGCGCACCAAAGCAACTTGCTTTGCATATGGGCAAACAGGTAAATAGCTTTATTCACAGCTCTGATGGAATCTGTTACAACATTCCTACCATACGTGATGCAAATGATATGACAACTCCTCTTGAAAAATATTACAAAAGAAGAAGAAAATCAAATTCAAAAGCCAACATTATTAATTGGCAAGATTCTACCCTAGAATTAGCCTAATAATGATGTCAACTACATTCAGCCAATTTTCAGCAAGCTAATGTTGAAAGTTTAGTCACCAAAGTTATCAAATCAGAATTCGTATCGTGAATCAAAATGAGCTCGTACCGAATCGCGAATCGAATCATGAATCGTAAAGATTCGGTCACTTTTTCTAAATTACTTATACATTTAGATGTTAAATATATCTTATGAATAAAAAATATTTGGACTTAAATCAACAAAAATGTTACTTTGAATGATAATCACATAGTTTAATAGGTAAGAAGTTAACAAAGGTTCGTATGTAAGATCACCATCTTACTTTTTTTTTCTTTTTTAGATATTTTTTATCAACCATTCTTAATAAAGATAATAACCAAATAGACAAACTATCAATTTCTAAAGTAACAATAATTAACAGCGATATTGATATTTGGACAATAAACATATATACTTTGCTAAATAACAGTGAGTAAATAATAAGAAAGAATTATTTAGAATATTTTATTTTAAAGCCTAAAACATTTTAAAAGGTGTAACTGACCTCACACATGTAATATTCAATTTAATAAAATAGTAATGGATAATTCATAGTGTAACTTTAATCCTAAATATCTTTAGAAGATATATTATGATTTTTTTAAGGGAACAAAAATGAGAAGAAATGTTAAAAATATGTTGGGTCTGACTGAATCTGATTGGATCCTGTTAAAAACTCTATAATCACTAAAATAACAACAAATCATGTATATATGTTGGTTATTTTGATATTAAACGTTATTAGAAGTTATATTATGTCATTTTCCCCAAAAAGATGGGAAAAAAAAAAGAGTCGAAAATATATCAGACACAATAATTTCAAAAATTTCATGAATCGTAAGAAGTGAATCGAATCGTGAATTGATTGTGAATCGTGTGATTCACTAGAGATATATGTCCAAAATAGATTCACTTATAGATTCGTATCGATTTTGCAAAAATTGTGAATCTAATTATGAATCGAATCGCGAATCGTAAGATTCTGATAACAGGAATAAAATCTAATTTTCAGCATGATAGTTGAAAGTTTAGCCACCAGCCACCAAGATTTTCCAAGCATTATCATTACTTTGAAAATCTTATTAAAGTGTATCTTTTACTTTGAATTTTGTATTATTTGTCTTCTATTGTGTTGAGATGCCTAGAAATATGTAAGCTCACAATGTATTGAACACAACTTGAAGAAATAAGAAAGCTTGCTATATTTATAGATGTGTGATACATCTCTCTTTGGGTTTGTGTGATGCAACTTTAACCCTTGGGTGTGATTGCCCAAGAACCTAGGTGTGATTGCCTAGTTTTCTTTGTTTTAATTAGCATTTCACTTCATTATTTCTACTACATTTTCCTGCCTAAAATCCTGCTTGTTCTTCCTGTCTTAAAACTAAAATTTCAACTCTCTAAACTCTACCTTAAGACACCAAAACCTAGTCACAATCTGTCCTAAACCTCCCATAAACATTCAGCCTACCTTCTCACTATATTCACCCTATTTTGGTGCTGAAAATTTAAAGATCCTGCATAAGTTTGGTATCAGATGAGGTTCAGCACCATGTCTACTCATACGGGAAGAACTTTCCGCAAGATCCACTGACAATCAAAGAGATGACCTACTTCTTCAGATTTGGGAGCAGATGCAAAACCTCCAGTCTCGTGTGGGTGACCTTGAAACAAGGTTTGCTCATATTGTGGCTAACCAGGCTGCCAATAATGGAGGAGAACCATCCGGATGCATTGTTAATGACGAAGAAGGCGGAGAACAAGAAGGGCAGCAAGTGGAACAACAGCCCAACCCAATTCCAAGAATGGAAGTGAGGGTTGAAAGACCCACAACCAATGCCACAATTTCCTTCTGTTGACTGGAATAGGAACTTTCTCGAAAGGTACTGTCCTGAATCTCAAGACAACACTGGCTATATTACCAAGAAGGTAAAGGTGCACGTGCCAGATTTTGATGGGAGACTAAACCCAACAGTCTTCGCTGATTGGTTGTCTTCAATTGAGGAGTATTTTGATTGGTATGACATGTCTGACGAGAGGTGAGTTTGCTTTGCAGAAATGAAGTTGGTTAGTCTTGCAAAAGTATGGTGGAATGGCATTGAAGGTGACATAAGGAGATTGGGTCAAGCACCAATTTCTTCTTGGCAAGAGATGAAAGCAAAATTTTGTGAGAAGTATATGCCTCCTATTTTCCAAGAGAAACTTTGTGAACAACTTGTCAATCTCAAGCAAGGCAATTTGTCAGTGGCAGAATACATGCAAAAGTTTGATGAGCTAAAGACACGAAGCCAAATTAGTGAAGATCCTTGTTATACTTTGGCTAGATTCAAATCTGGTCTTAGATTTGACATAAGACGAGAGTTGCTTCGACAACCCCTTTACAGTGTGGAGCATGCGTTCCAAGTGGCCCTTGACATGGAGGAGTACTTACGTTTGCCACCAGTGAAGAAATCTCATTCCCAAGTCAGGGAGGCAACAGTGAAGAGATTTAAGGATGGCTATAACGGTACTAGGGCGGCTTCCTTTCAGCCGAATCAAAGGTTGAATGAAATTAAAAGGAAGAACGTGATAGGTGAAGCTCCAAGAAGGCCCGAAGGCAAAGACTTTTGTTTCCGATGTGGTGGCAAAGGACATATGGCCTACCAATGTCCAACCAAGTCCAATCTCCACCTCGGCATGGAACATGTTGAGGAACCTACTCATCAGGAAGGCCACGATAATGATGCGACCAATGAAGAACCACAATATCATACTGATGATTTGGAAGATTCGGATGTAGATGAGTCTTTTGCCATGGTGGTTCGTCGCATTCTTGCTACTCCAAAGACTGAGAAGGAAAATTGGAGGACTACTATTTTTCAGACATTAGTTACTTGTGGAAAGGAACTACGCAAGCTAGTCATCGATGGAGGAAGTTGCATGAATGTAGTCTCGGCTTCAACAGTTGAAAAACTAAAATTACCTACAGAGCCACATCCCCAGCCATATCGTGTAGCATGGATCAACCACATCACTATACTGGTAAATCAGCGATGTTTGATCTCTCTTACTTCTGGTAAATATACAGATTCTATTTGGTGCGATGTTGTTCCTGTGAATGTTACACACATATTATCGGGTCGACCTTGGCTCTTTGATCGTGATGAGTATCATTGTGGAAAGGAAAATACTTGACACTTTTTGTGCAATAAAGATGATATCACTCTTTACCCAAAGGGTACCGAAGAATTGAACAAAATAAAGGAAAAGAAGCCAAAACATGATGTTGAAAAGAAGAGACAGCAAGCTGCCACCGAGAAGAAACCTCTCCAATTACTTATCAGGAAGAAGTTTGAACAAGAAAGCAAGGAAGTTGGGGTTATCTATGCTGTGGTGACCACAGAAGTGAGCAAAACAGGAGCTGTCCAGCCTAAGGAAATGCCTCAAGAAGTGATCCAACTCCTCGAAGATTTCTCTGATCATGATGTTGCCTCAGAAGACTTACCAACTGGTTTACCACCCATGCGCCACATCCAGCTTGCAATTGATTTGGTTTCTGGTGCACCACTACCCAACTTGCTAGCTTATCGAATGAATCCTAGTGATCATGCCAAATTGAAAAGACAAGTGGAAGAGCTTTTGTCAAAGGGATATATCAAAGAAAGCTTAAGTCCATGTGCTGTACCAACATTGTTGACACCAAAGAAGGATGGAAGTTGGCGAATGTGTGCGGATAGTTGTGCCATCAACAAAATTACCGTCAAATACCGATTCCCAATTTCGTGGTTTTACGACATGCTAGATATGATGGCCGACTATCTTTTCAAAGATAGATCTCAACAGCGGTTACCACCAAGTTCGCATACGACCTGGAGATGAATGGAAAACAGCTTTTAAGACCAAAGATGGACTATATGTGTGGCTAGTCATGCCTTTTGGGTTATGTAATGCACCCAGCACTTTCATGCCAATCATGACGCAGGTACTCCAACATTTTGTTGGTCAATTCCTAGTTGTATACTTTGATGATATATTAATTTATAACAAGGCCAAGGAGGAACATGTTTTTCATCTCTGACAAGTAATGAGGGTTCTCCAACAAAAAAAACTCTACATTAATATGAAAAAATGTTCCTTCATGACTTCCAGAGTTGTGTTTTGGGCTTTGTTTTGTCCGCTAGGGGAGTGGAAGCAGGCCTAGAAAAGGTTAAATCCATCCTTGACTGGCCTACACCCACTACCGTGCATGAAGTAAAGAGTTTTCATGGGTTGGCTACCTTTTATTGACGATTCATCCAAAACTTCAGCATCATCATGGCACCAATCACTAATTGCATGAAGAAAGGCCAATTCACATGGACAAAGGCATTTTCCAAAGCCTTTGAAGAAATCAAGAATCTTATGGTTCAAGCTCCAGTATTGCACCTACCAGACTTCACCAAAGTGTTTTAAGTAGCTTGTGATGCCTCTTATGTTGGCGTAGGAGGTGTCCTTAGCAAAGAGGGCCATCCAGTGGCATTCTTTAGTGAAAAACTAAACGATGCCAAGCACAAATTCTCCACCTATGATAAGGAGTTTTACGCAGTGGTACAAGCCCTACAGTATTGGCTCCCAAGGAATTTGTTCTCTTTTCTGACCATGAGGCTCTCAAGCATATCAACAGTTAGAAAAAGATGAACCCAAGGCACGGGAAATGGGTTGAGTTTCTTCTAGCTTACACTTTCGTCATCAAACATAAGGTAGGCATTGAAAACAAGGTTGTTGATACTCAGTTGGGTAATGTTATGTGCTTACTATGTCCGTGAAAGTTGTGTGGTTTGAAAATTTGGAAA